AATGCTAACGAGAAATGGCAACAAATCTGAAAGAAAAGTAAAAGGTGAAGGGCTGAGTTGTGCTTGGTTCAATCTCGTTGCTTGTCAATCCAACTTGAATTAACCAATGATTGCTGGATGGGTGAACAGTTTCAATCAATCAAGAAAAATATGTATCAATCAATCAATCAATCAATCAAAACATTTGATGTTTGAGCTAGAGGTCATAATGAGATCAAGAAGACAAAAAGCTTAACTCAACTGTGTGCAGACACGGTTCAAAATATAATAGAAGGAATTGTCACAAACTGTTGCAATTTAATCTGCAATGCAAATACATCTTTAGAAGCCTCATGCACTGCAAACAAAAATTGATAACTGCTTCTTTAAGATTCAGAGGGGTCTCATGTCTCTTGCTTACTAGCTAGGCTCGTGTCCCTCTGAAATGTATGCCCCAGATCTGCTAGCGGAATTTTCCAAGTGAGATACTAGAGTAGGGCCTATTACTAAATGACTGGGCCCGAGACAAAGGTCACTGAAACATCACAGGTATTTAGCCTTGCCTTACGGCTGAGATGCTTAAAGTCAGCTGGTCAATTTTATTTTTAACCCTTGACCTCATCTAGCCATAACAAATTCTTTCGAGGAACCATCAATCTTCAGTCCTTGCTAGGTTGTAATTATAGTTCCATCCAACATGGGATAAAGTGAGAGTCTGGATTTCTCCCATAGGGGGAACATTATTTCATTGGAAGGTACTGATATTTCCCCCAAGAATGAAAATTAGGGTCGTATACAGAGCATTAGTATATATACGTTAGTGCCACACTAGCGAATCCAACTATACACCGCACTATTCCTGAGACACTGAAAAGCAAAGCTGTGTGCAGCGCTCACAGAGAAGAAAAAGGAAGTCTGCAAGAAATCCAGTTTTCGTGTGTGTATGTGTTGCATATGGTGCATTTGAGTTCTTGTATAATGCACAAGTGGGAATGGGTGAAAATCGAGAAGCAGCAAGTTTGGATTAATTTTGTCATGCAAATTTTGTCATAAGATTCGAAGCTCATTCGTTGTTGGGCATTTGACCCTCAAACAAACTTCTAATTTTGCAGCGTATTGGGGGGGGGCATAGCGGGAGGGGGAGAAAAGGGACACAGATGGCCAGATGGATATTTTCTGATATAGGATGGAATGGCACACACACGCTATTCCACACACACACACACACACACACACACACACACACAAAAGGTTTTGTGTTTCTAGTCAAGGTAAATCCTGAAGGGGTTTTTCATCAAGATAGAAATTCAAGCTTCCCCCCTCCCCCACCCATTTCTTTCTTTTGCATAAGCCGTTTCCAACCTGCGCCAGCAGGAATAATGTATGCAAGTACTGGAAGCCTCTTGAATATGTAGTCAGTGGGGAACAGCCTGGCTACATGCGTTTTTACATATCTTCCAGCTACAGCGGAATCAAAGAGCCAACTGCTGAATTTCAGAGCCCAAGGCTATCCTGTGGATTTATAAGACCCCTTGAAGGAATCAGATCCATAAGCCAATAATATGCCAACATTATTATTATTATAAAAACATATATGTATATAACAGTAGTAGGTTTTGCTTCCGATATAAAGTGGATTTTTTTAAATTTTAATATTTTATACTCTTCTATTATCTTTTAAACAAGTTACTCATTTAAAAGTTATTTCAATGGCTCGGAGCATCGCATTATGGAAATCGAGTCGGTGTTAACTTACAATTTTCATCCCGAAGAATGCTGTGCACCCCAAAACACTTCCTGATTGTTTTTATTTGAATTCATAAAGCGGCACATCCCATAGGCTTGGAACAACTCGCATTTCAGCTCCCCTCTTCCTTGGTATAAACACACTTGTCACTGTATTCCTTTCCAACCTTCCCTTTTCCTGGTCCTTCCTTAAACAAGCAGGCATCCCCTTCTGAGGGGATGAATACTGTGACATTTCAGACAGATAGGTGCACAGATTTTTGTGTGCAAGGAAGAAGAGAAGAAGAGTTTGGATTTGATATCCCGCCTTTCACTCCCTTCAGGAGTCTCAAAGCGGCTAACATTCTCCTTTCCCTTTCTCCCCCACAACAAACACTCTGTGAGGTGAGTGGGGCTGAGAGACTTCAAAGAAGTGTTACTGGCCCAAGGTCACCCAGCAGCTGCATGTGGAGGAGCGGAGACGCGAACCCGGTTCCCCAGATTACGAGACTACCGCTCTTAACCACTACACCACACTGGCTCTTCAAAGGAGAGTCTTCAAAGTTTTTAAGGGAGGGAAGAGATGCACACATACACATCATTGGAGGGTAAGCATACAACACAGAAGTGCCCCTAGCAAGTAATCTGCAAAATTTCAGGAGGATCAGTGCAGGGGCTTTTGTGCAACATTAGCTTCTAAAGTTGTGTGTGGGAGATGGCTACTTTGTTTTCTGCTCAGTTGATTTCAGCTGGTAAGTCCCTTCTACATGTCTTCCAAAAGCACTGCGATTGGATGTGAAAAAGAGAGCTATGGTAAGATTATCTTCTGATTTGAAGCTATAGCCATCCATCACAAAATAAAAGCTCCTCCTCTCACTCCCTCCTGTCACATGGAGAGCTTCTGGAAATACAACAATGAAAGCTTCTAAAGATTTCCCCCTAAATAATTGTTGTCCCTTTTCCAGGACTGAGGCCCGAGCAGGTTACGTTATGTAAGGTTTTAATTGGTGTTCTCATGTGCTGGCAATACTGATTTCTATCATTGTATTTTTATGGTTGTAAGGTGCATTTGAAAAGCTTTGTCTGGAAAAGCAGCACAGAAATAATTTAAAACAATAGCAACAACCATCAGTCTGTTCTCTTAGACCTCTGAAGTGCTGATGTGGTCCAGAGGCTTTAGAAGAAGCCTGATTCATGTCCCTTGGGACACAACGTCACCTCAGAAGAGCCCCAGATTTTTTTCCAGAGCTCTCCAATTTGACTCTCGGTTCAAGATTGATCAAAACAGAATGCACATCCCTAAATAATACATGTAAATCTGAAAGAACTCCTAAAGTGACTGACATGTTTGGCCATTTATAAATGATCTCCTTTACTAGTATGAACAATACTAGTATTAAACAACTCCTAACCCACAATAATACTACAACCAGACTTAACACGGACACTGGCACCAGAGCCTGCAATAAACCCAGATGCCAACTTTGCTGCCACATACACCCGGACAACACCATTACTGGCCCCAACAACATCACACATACCATCTCGGGACTATTTAATTGCTCATCGTCTAACATTGTGTATGCCATCAAATGCCAACAGTGTCCTTCAGCTCTCTATATTGGACAAACAGGCCAAACCTTACGCCAAAGAATAAACGGACATAAATCTGACATCAAGAATCACAAGACAGAGAAACCAGTAGGAAAACACTTCAATCTCCCAGGACATTCTATACAAGATCTCAAAGTAGCTGTTTTACTACAAAGGAATTTCAGAAATAGACTGGAAAGAGAAGCTGCTGAGTTGCAACTCATTACTAAACTTAAAACCATGGAGAAACCTGGTCTGAACAAAGACATTGGATTCTTATCTCATTATACATGACAAAGCCAATTTTCACCTTCTCACCCATTGCTTTTTCCTGTAAGACCTATTGCAGTCGTTAAGAGTCGTCAACAGGCTCACCACAGCTATCTGCCCATCACCCATTCCCACCACCCTTCTGAGTAATACCCCTCCCCACCTTCTCACTATATAGAAGGATCTGGCAACTTCTGTTTCAGTGTATCTGAAGAAGTGTGCATGCACACGAAAGCTATACCAAGAACTAACTTAGTTGGTCTTTAAGGTGCTACTGGAAGGAATTTTTTTTGTTTTTAGTATGAACATGTTCATGGAGAGCTCACACAATACATCAACATACTTTGTGAGTTTTTGTCCCCTAAAATGACATGGTGGCAGTGTACCATGACACTGGAAAGTTGTCAGCAATACAGTCCAATACAATCCAAACAATACAAAATAAGAGGAGTGAGGCAACTGTAAGTCACTGCCAAATAAACAGAAGGGCAGATACAGTCAAATGTTGGATCCCGAATGCCGAAACCCAGAAGTAAATGTTCCGGTTTTTGAATGTTTTTCGGAAGCCAAATGTCCAACACGGCTTCCACTTGAGTGCAGGAAGCTCCTGCAACCAATCGGAAGCTGTGCCTTGGTTGTCGAACATTTCAGAAGCCAAACGAGCTTCCAGAATGGATTACGTTCAACAACCGAGGTTTGACTGTAATTAATTCAATGTAAAGGATCCATGAAACAGTCAAGTCTCAGCAGGATGCCAATAAGGAGTCAGACCAGTTGGGTTTCCCGGACGAATCTGGGTGATACAATTGAAAAGGCCCTGTCCTGCGTCCCCCACCAATTGGATTCTCAGCGGCCAAGGAATGTGGAGCAAGGCCTCAGGCACTGATACTAGTAGTGGATTGGCGTTTACAAGTGCAGGATTGGACCAGCAGGCATTCAGTTAACAGAATGACAAGCCTACCAGTTCAGAAGGAGCCTCATGTTGTCTCCTCGCCCAGCTTCTAATAGCCATAAAATGCCACGGCTGTAGCTAACCTTCTGTAAAACGCCTCTGAGCTCAAAATCGCTTGTACTGCATTTCCCCAGAGATGCTGGTCAACATTAAGAATGTATAAAGTACAATTCTCTCGGAGCATTTTGGCAACTATTTGTTATGATATTGCTTCCTGTCAAGCGCATAATGCAATTTTGTCTTCCATAAAAATAAACGCGCTCTGTGTGTGTGTGTGTGTGTGTGTGTGTGTGTGTGTGTGAAATCTCAGGCTCTTGTCATTTCCCACATTTCTGTCACTAAATATTTAAACAAAGGGAGGCCAGAGAATCCCAAGCTAGCAATCGGCTTCATGTAGTTTACCCCCCTAAGGTTAGACTACGAATGAAATGGTGCTGCATCATAAAGGAGACTTAAAAGAGATAGCCATTAAAAGCCCTACCTGCCCACAGGCTAGGCCCATGCCTCTCTCTCCCATGCCATGCGGACAGGATAAATTTAACTCCAGGGCATCCGCTCCAGAAGCCTGTATGACACACAAGAAAGAAAATATCAAATATTAACTGCCAAAATGGTACACCACTTCAGTGAAGGTAATTTCCCAAATGACAACCTGATGTGTAGATCTGTAACTCATGCCACATGTAATATCCCCACCCCCCACAACCCATCAATATTTACTTTTCGTTTATGACTAATTCAGTGCAAAATGTAATTTGAAGAAACAAAACACAACAAACTTTTAAAGGGGTTACATTGCAAAACAAACTATAATCTGACACAGAGAACTTTCGTTAACCTCTCTTTCCCCCTTCCAAAAATACCTCTGGAATCATGGCAGTTCTACTAATTGTACTGAATAATCGTACGAGTAATATGCTGAATATGGGACGCGGGTGGCGCTGTGGGTTAAAAGCCTCAGCGCCTAGGACTTGCCGATCGAAAGGTCGGCGGTTCGAATCCCCGCGGCGGGGTGCGCTCCCGTTGCTCAGTCCCAGCGCCTGCCAACCTAGCAGTTCAAAAGCACCCCCGGGTGCAAGTAGATAAATAGGGACCGCTTACTGGCGGGAAGGTAAACGGCGTTTCCGTGTGCGGCTCTGGCTCGCCAGAGCAGCGGTAATGACAATAATTATGGTAAATGCTGATAATGATAGAAGTCCGGACTGTATCACTTCATAAGTGCAGGGTGAAAGGCCAGAGGTGTACTGAAATGGTTGAACATTTCTTCCAAGTAAATATATAGGGAACAGATGCAACAGAGAATAGTCTGTATTAAACCCTTCCCTTGATAGACTTGTATTCTACATGGCCAGAATTTCTCACAATGGTATTTGGTTAATTGTTTCAATAACAGCTTATGGCTGGCGTCTCCAAACACGGATAAATCCACTACATTTGTTTGATGTTGGTTTGCTTGTAAAATAGAAACAATCTTAGACGATGTTATTAATTCTGGAAACACATTAGGGTTCTGCCAGAGAATGGACTTATTGGGAGGATATAAACATGCACGATACATATACCAGAAACTGTTACATAAAATCCAAGCTGGGAGGGGGCTGTGTCTAAAGACTTTACATGCTAAAATCTAACCAAATGCAATTTGAGCTTTTCCACTGCAAGCCCCCTCTTTGGGCTTGAATTGCCCCAGTCTTCCCTTGGGGGTCCATTCCTCGCCGTTTATTATCAGGAGCACAGAGCTCCCAATCCTGGAAATATGCAGATGAGTTGCACGGTGCAGTGAAGTATGAGCAAAACAACATGTCAAGGAGGTTTGCGGATCCGACGGCAGTGTGAAAGAGGGATTGCTACTCATGGCTTGTATATGCATTCCTCCGGAGATCAGCTGTACCATTAGGTAGAGTGGGGCAGCCACCTCAGGCAGCAGGTGCTAGAGAGTAGGAAGTGGGGCAAGGAGCTTGAAGGCAGTTCTGTGAGTGCCAAGTGGCCTGGTCTGTGCATCCTTAGAGAAGCATCTCACCAGGTGAGATGGAAGCAGCTCCTATCCTAGTTTCCCAGCAGGTAAGGCAGGAAGATCAGTGCAGTGCAGATGCACCAGCAGGAAGGCTGGATTGGCTCTGACAGTGCATTTGCTGCTGTGGCAACAATGACCCACTGGCCAGGAAGCTATCTCCACCTCACCAGTCAGTGCTACACCATTAGCTAGCCTGTGGTCCTTGGCTTTCAACGGAGAACAGAATCCAGTTGCCAGCACTGAAGTTAAGATTCATCTGCATCCGGTTGACTTTTGTAAATGGAATTTTGGGGTTGGGTACCTTGTCCTTTGACTTGGACAGCAAAATGTTTTGGGCCAACCCTGCTCACCTTTGCCACTGGTGAATATACATACATATATATAAATGCTATGGTTTTTCCAGTAGTGATGTATGGAAGTGAGAGCTGGACCATAAAGAAGGCTGATCACCGAAGAATTGATGCTTTTGAATTATGGTGCTGGAGGAGACTCTTGAGAGTCCCATGGACTGCAAGAAGATCAGACCTCTCCATTCTGAAGGAAATCAGCCCTGAGTGCTCACTGGAAGGACAGATCGTGAAGCTGAGGCTCCAATACTTTGGCCACCTCATGAGAAGAGAAGACTCTCTGGAAAAGACCCTGATGTTGGGAAAGATTGAGGGCATTAGGAGAAGGGGACAGCAGACGATGAGATGGTTGGACAGTGTTCTCGAAGCTACCAGCATGAGTTTGACCAAACTGCGGGAGGCAATGGAAGACAGGAGTGTCTGGCGTGCTCTGGTCCACGAAGAGGGGTCACACACACTCCTGCAGCAGCTAAGGGGTCTTCATGGGGTCACGAAGAGTCGGACACGACTAAATGACTAAACAACAACAACAACAAATATATATATATATTTGCATTGTTTTAAAAATACCCCTGATAAATCTGTTTGACAAAGGAGTCACAGTGGGATAAAATGAAGCATGAATGATGTGCACCCGTGCATCAGAGAAATCAAAAGATCCCTGCACTGGTTTCTGGATTTGCACACTGAGAAAGGTTTCATGGAACTAATCTCCCTACCAAGATCTGGTGGTGGTAGCAAATTTTCCTCTATGTGCTTAGTTCTTGAGCTCCCTCACCCCTCCACCAGTATGCACATAAGTGCATCACATGAATGGGGAAAAAGCAGATATGGTTGGCAATAAAATCTCATGATCACTTGAGGAAATCTCAGCAGCTGCAAGTCATAAGGATTGTGGCTGCTAATGAAACCTGCTATCCCTTTTCACAAAATGTGTTTTGTCCAAGGAAGGTCCTGAATTCAAAGTATATTGTTTGAATTGATCCTTAATCCCATTTAGGGTTCGTGGGCCAGGCTTTGAGGTAGGCCTCATCACAGAATAAATAATTATAATTGAGCTGCCCAATATTTGACTGTCTATCTAAAGGTTAGCAAAAGTCATTTAAGCCAAGGATCTGATGGCAAACACGCTTGCTGTTGATTCCAAAGTGAAGTCAAGAAAAGCGCACTGAGAATATGGGAGCAAGCAAGAGAGAAAGAAGTCGGCTAAACTTCTTTAAAGGTCACATTTAATTGTGAGGCAGGAAATAGGTCTTATATTATCTGAACACTTTCCCAATTGTTGTGAATTATGAAGGAACAGCAGGTCTACTGTTAAAAGACTTGAGCCACGAAAATCTTTATTCAAGTCTCAAGTAAGAGAAAAACCTGGTGATTTCTAGAGAATTAAGGTGTGGACTTCAGGAAATCTGTGCTCGAAATGAAATATGTTATCTTCGCCATTCAAGACACCATTAAAACAGGTCTAGCCCACCTAAGTAAACGCTCCTGCTCAGATCCTTATAACTCCGCACAAAGAAGAAGGGCAAAAGCAAAAATCTACCCCTTTGTCCCAAATTAAAAGCCCCAGGACATTATGTGGAGAATGTTGGTTCCTCAAGGCTGAGTTTTAGAGGCTGCTTTGAAGTCAGGCAGCAACAAATGTGAAATGAAAGCTCAACAGAATTGTCTTGAGTTCAGGCTTGAACCTTCAGAACACCATTAGAATATCTTATCACCTGAGCCACAGACGACATGGCCTCCTCAGGCTGTTAGTCTCCTCAGGAAACTGCATCTGTGTGCCGTAATAGATGTGACTTTAACTGCAGGCAAGCATAGAACCGTAGTTTTTAAAATCCCAATAGCTGCTGCAGGAGTGTGTGTGAACAGGAATGAGAAATGTGCACAGAAGATGCAGCAACATCTTCCATAGTGCTTCATGAGGGGAAAATTAACGTACACATGCAGCAGAATTTATTCCTAGGCCAAGGGAAGGAGCATGTGAGAAGGGGTGGAATCTGGTTGTACTTAAATAGCCAGGGCTGCTCCAATCACAAAACAAGCACCCCAGACCAAAAAATTATGAAGTATACCTCTTAATTGAATTCAGAAACAAAGGATCAACCCATGCAATGGAGGCTCCTGCAAACCTTTAGGGTGCTTTTTTAAAAAGAAAAGAAAAGAAAAGAAAAAGTGCCAGAGGTCACCATGAACTTCTCCCTTCTTCTCTTAGAATGGCAGTGATGCCCACCTGAGAGGTGCTGGAACAGAGTTCCAGCTAGAAAAAAGCCCTGAGCTTTAGAACCTGTTTAGAATAAATGGTTTTATGTAACTTGATTTTAATGGTTTTTAATTTGGTGTTTTAAATGAATATTTTAGACTGCCTACTGTAAACCACTTAGAGGACTTTTGTCCTAGGAAGCGGTATATAAATTTTGTAATACACCCTTGAAATCTACTCCTTTTTAATTACTGAAGGTGCAGGGACACCGTTTTCTGTTGTAGCTGTCGCCCTTATTAGTAGATACTGATCTCAATACAAGGCAAACTCAATACAAGACAAAGCAACTGTGGATTTGGTGAATGGTTCTGCAGCAGTTCTAGGCTTATCAGAGTCAGCGGTATTGCGATAGAGTAAGTGGTTTAAGAGTCAAAGCGGGGAGAGGGGGATAACTTCAGTCAGTATTACACATACTTTCTGATTTAGCAAAGCAGGAAAAACCTATCTTCGTGTGCTTTAAAATTATTACTTAGGCAAGGTTAGAATCTGGTTTGCATTTTGTTGTTTCTGAGCGACAGGAGTGACTTTTGCCTGCTGTGTGGCCATGGTTCAGAAACTCTAAAGAGACCCATCAGAAGAAATGCTATCCATCATTTTCCTCAAGCGTTCCCCTTCCTGTTGAGCTTCACAACCTATGCATGTGGGCTTGTTGTTATTTTTGTTATTTACTTCCATGACAGGTTGACCTTTAGTGTACATGGCTGGCCTCCTATGGAGACCTGACTGCATCTCCTCTAGGGCTTATGCACCTTGGAAGGTCACAAGTATTTGGCAGGGAGAGGGTTGTTTTCTTTCTTCTATTTTTTAAAAAGATGTTTCTCATGTAGGCCATAACCTGTGGGGCAATGTTGAGAATTTGCAAAATAAGAATGGTTTTATCAGTTCTAGAAAAACAATAACAGAGAAGTAATAATTGAGGAGGGAAAAACCTGTCACGCTTTTAAAAAAAATATTAAGACCAAATGAAGAAGAAGAGGAGGAGTTTGGATTTGATATCCCACTTTATCACTACCCTAAGGAGTCTCAAAGCGGCTAAGAATCTCCTTTCCCTTTCCTCCCCCACAACAAACACTCTGTGAGGTGAGTGGGGCTGAGAGACTTCAGAGAAGTGTGACTAGCCCAAGGTCACCCAGCAGCTGCATGTGGAGGAGCGGGGAAGTGAACCCAGTTCACCAGATTACGAGTCCACTGCTCTTAACCACTACACCACACTGGCTCCTTACGAGTCCACTGCTCGTATGGAATGATATACATGACCAGTTAAAAACTGCTGAAGCAGAATGAACCATTCATTTCAGAAGAAGAGGAACTTGAACAGCAGGGATGAGGACCGAGGGCCCTCCAGATGTTGGACTACAATTCCCGTCGTTCTGACCATGGTGGCTGGGGTTGATGGAGATCAGAGTTCAACCACAACTGGGTTCCTAATCCCTGTTGCACAATACCAACATTTATGGATGTAAACAGTGGAGACCTTTTTAGATTTTAATAAGGAAAGATGGGAAAATGAGATTTAGCAGTGCATCCCAGGCACTCAGTCGGAAGCCGCGGAAGCCGCATCGGACGTTCGGCTTCCAAAAAACGTTCGGAAACCGGAACACTCACTTCCAGGTTTGTGGCATTCAGGAGCCAAAACGTTTGAGTCGCAAGGCGTTCGAGAACCAAGGTGTATTTGTTCTGAGCACTTTCCTATTTATATCTCCTAATCACTACAATAACTTTATCAATATAAAAAATTATAATATTTTCACAACTACTTCGATCAAATTCGAATTTTCATGGGAGTATATATATATATGATCGATATGCAAAAATAGTAAGAGGCAGAAAATTAAACCATAGAAAAAACACATTTTAAATGCCTTGGTGACTAAGAATGTCTTGATCTGACATCTAAAAGCTTGCATCATAAGTGCTAGGCATACCTTCCCAAATAGGGCATTCCAGTCAAGGTGCTACCACTGAAAAGGCCCTCTCCTTTGTAGTTACATAGCACACTTCCTATAAGGAAGGTACTTGGAACAGGGTCTCAGCAGAATATCTTCAGGCAAGAGTAGACGGGTGTGGGAAGACACAACACACTGCCTCAGGTATTTGGGTCCCATGCCATTCAAGGCTTTAAAGGTTAAGCAACTGCACCTTGAATTCAGCAAACTATTTAAAAATGAATCTAGTTTTGAAGCAATAAGACATGCACCCTTTGCATTTGCCCTGATCCAGCTAGGGCCCTTTCATGTGTGGGGGTGAAATTATTCCTCCAAGTGAATGTTGCACGTGTAATTTCATAGCCGAATCCACTAACAGGGCTGTGAATGCTTTACTCTGGTAATATATTCCTAATGCAGATTATCAGCTGTTTAGGATGGGGAGTGGGACAACTGCTCAATTCTTCACTGGAGCTGTGATGAAGAAAACAATCATTTCGTAAAACTGTTATCGTTTTGACGATTCCATTTTCTTTTGAGCCTATAGCCTAGCTAAACTGAAAGGGCCTTTTCTTGCCTGCTAGTTGTTTTCAGGTACTGCATATAGCAAATGTTCCTTTTGCAACACCGAAAAAATAGAAACTATTAGACTCAATGGTGGCCATTGTATGCAGGAAAAGAGAATTGGCTAGGAATGGCAATAGTGGTTAATCTTGAATTGTTTTGTAGACAGATGAAAGACGGTATTGGGAGGCAGTTAATGCATACGAAAATTAGTCAAAGCCTTCATAAAGAAATATATTGAAAAAATGATTATATGTAATTACATGATATAATGACGAAGCCTGATCTGAAGAGCTACATGGTTTTGATTGGTTCAGGATGGTGACATTGGATTGCAACTGTTAAGATCGCTGTGATCCTTTGATTGGTAAAATGAAACGACGTGTGTAATCTAGAAGTGTATAAGAAACATTGCTTTGGATTATGCTCTTAGCAGCCTCCTCCTCATTTTTGAGGCCGTCCCTATCCAATTAAGGGCCATCATTTTACTTGCAGCCTGCATCCTTTTATTTTGGATTTCTGGGAGGGATAACGCCAGTCTAGGAACACCTTTTAAATTTCTCCAACAGCTGCACACTTGTAGATTTGGATTAGGTCCTAATATTTCACTTTATTTCTCCAAGGACCTGCAGTTTCATTACTGTGCGAGATTAAAACGGTACATTCAGCAGAATCAAACGGCAACATTTTTCCTGTCCCGTATCATTTGACACTGCAGATGGCAGAGTCCGTATTTTGATGCTCCTCTGTGGTTTGTTTGTTTTTTAATCGTACCTACTCATTGGGGGGGGGGAGAACATCAAGGGGAAGACTAAGCCTGAGTCCTCCTTCACACACGAGCTTTTGATGTACAGGAAAGCTCCCTCCATGCTCCCCATGGATGTATTCAAGTGTGCAAACCCCACCTGTAGTCTGCAGTGAAACAGTCCAGGAAAAAAAAATTACCACTTGAATATCTAGAGTTCTGGGAAAGAGTAGACAGATTTGCAGCTTCATTTATAATTTCAGCGCACACATTGATGCACGCAATGCATCTTCCAGCCTATATATTACTGCCTTAATAAAGTATTTCTTGCATAACCTTGATAAACCTTGCTTTAAAGAGAGAGACAGAGGAAGACAGAGAGAGAGAGAGAGAGAGAGAGAGAGAGAGAGAGAGAGATATAAAATTCCAGGTGCTTGACCAAGATGTTTTCATTTGTACAAGTAGGTATTTATTTTATAGGAAAACCAACAAACTGCCATTATGTACAATAGCTTTTGTGCCGCCGCCACTTTTCCCCCTCCCTTTTGCAAATCTGTATTAGAAGCAGAACAGCATTAAATGAGCCTTTTATACTTTAAATATTCAAGAGTTTTATATTCAAAATTTCTTCTGGTGCTGTCAAACTAGAGTGCCTGAAGGCAAGGTAAGATCAAGTTAGGTTCTCAAAGGTAGAATTAAATTTTATCAGGGCATCCGTCATAATATGCGGGTTGCTTAAAATGCAAATAAAAAGTGTAGAGATTCAAAGGCTAAAGAATTTTCAGGTAGAATGCAAAGTCCAGGGGACCGCTTCTATGCAATAGAGTCATTTAATTTACATTTCTATCATTTTAATGAAAACACAGAAGAAACAAGCAATAATGGATATGTCTTAAGCTCTCGGTTTTTTGGTTGGAATTTCCTTTCTTTCGCAATCTCTCTCATGGAATAAAAAAGTAAAAAGGGTAAGAGAGAGGAAGGGAGGGAGAGGGAATAGGATGAGAAAGCATATTAAGGGGCCATTACCTCAGCCACTTTGGAAAGTTCAGTCCAATCGTCTTTATTATAGCTGCACATGATACTGGCGATGACAATCTGAAAAGATAAGTATTGGTTTATACAATGCTGCATTCCTGAATAATTCCTTCTGCATATATTGCAATGTTTCTGCTTCTAACCCTCTTCTGACCCTATTTTGTTGTTATAACTGCTATACAGCAGTCTTGGGGATTTATTTATTTTAAAAAAAACTCCTTGTGATAAAAGACAATGAATGTTGGGCATGAATGGGATTGGGAGGCACTGTGGGGCAAGCAACAGTCTTCCAGCACAACCAACCTGAAATCAGATGGCTATTTAACACCCCCTCCCCAACAATTCCTCAACTCATTGGGCTTTTCCATTGGAATTCTGTTAAATGTAAACGTGCCAAATTCAATATCTTAACAGCTATCTTAAAAAAAAACAAAAACACCTTAAATTTGGCAGCACCTATATCAGGAATGTTGGAGACAAGTAAACAAATAAGATAAAACTAACAGAAAATAAAATTGAATTTTTGCAAGCAAGCTGGAGACAGGGAAATTCGTATGAGAATTTTCTCTCCAATAAAGTGAAGTATTCCTCCTTAGAAATCATCTCCATGTAAGAAAATAATTTAATGTGCAAAGAGTCTCTAAATGTGCACAAACACACAGGTTTACAAAAGTTGACATTAGGGAGATACAAAGGAAATTGACGGCAACTCAAAAACCCAGCAACTTCATCTCTATAAGTGCGAATTCGCAGAGTCAGACAAGCAGTTACCAACAGTAACTGGAGTTTTGAATGGGTCACATTCTTATCTTGTATACATCCGGTCTCTGCACAGAAATGCAACAGATTTCAACCACTCCTTGCACGGTCCCATTGATTACAACTCTCCCGCACCCCCAGATGGGTGTATCTGTGAATTCACGCTCACATATCAATAGATTTAGGGGTAGATGACACAATCAACTCTCCGAGTGTCAAGCTCAGGAGGCACCTGCCCCAAAATGTCCCTCAACTATCCACTCTGTCAGCTATTGAGCAGCTGGAAGCAATTTGCACAAGCAATTCATCTTCACTTTGTAAAGCTGGCGGTACTGACATACTGTAGGTGGCCAATACTGTGTTAACTTATTTAAAATTATTCTTTGTATGGGCTTTAACAAATGGCATGCACAAGAGCGACTGCAGTCAGATGCATCCATGCAAATTTATCACCTTATGTGGCAGGGATGAATCATGCACGCACAATGTGTATTCAAAACAATGGCACGGGCTACAATTCAATCAAAAATAAGGTGTTAAAAATTAAATGGCTGGAGGGAGGGTGCCAGTGATTTTCCTTACCTTGGGCATCTTTGGTTTGGGGCCAGCCTGTTATATGCAAGAACTGTTATCCTCAGTTGATAGGTATCTGAATATGATACATTCACGCACATATACACTTATCAGCTAAGGATAACAGCTCACACAAAGAACAAAGTGATGTGCCTACAATTATGCCACAATAAAATTCTTAATCTTCACAGTGTCATGGGACTCTGTTCTTGCCACAACATGCATATCTTCTGCTGCTGCACCCCCAATATTTGTCTCAAATTGAGTGAGGCACAATAACTAATAAATCTGTCATCTACTATAGTTTATTTGCTGGAAGAAACTGTGATGGTGCCAGACTATGTTATTATCTGAAAGCAACAAAAGGCGGTATCTTCTGCAGCTTCATTGTGTGTATATGAGGGAGATGCAGATTTCCGTTTTATAGCAAAATTATCTCAAACATTAGGCTTAAACTTTCCATGTGGAGATAATTGTGACTGACAGTGCTGTCCAAAACCCCTTCTTTCAAAGGAAGGTAGGCGGTGGCGGGTTGTAGGGAGAGATGCTTAATTGGATTACTGACATGTGTTCAGTTAAGAGAGTGTCCTAATTTTCAAATAACTTTATTCTTAATGTACTATCTGTTAACTGTCCTATTTTTTACAGACACCCAAAAAGCTTCTAGTCTAGGCCCAATTCAAAGGGGTGCTAAACGGTAAAGGTAAAGGACCCCTGACAGTTAAGTCCAGTCACAGATGACTCTGGGGTTGCGGCGTTCATCTCACTTTACAGGCCGAGGGATCCGGCGTTTGTCCACAGAGAGTTTTTCCGAGTCATGTGGCCAGCATGACTAAGCAGCTTCGGAACACTGAAACCAGAGCAGCGCATGGAAACGCCATTTACCTTCCTGCTGGAGTGGTACCTATTTATTTGCTTGCACTTTTTGGCATGCTTTCGAACTGCTAGGTTGGCAGTCTGGGTGCTAAAAACCTTTAAAACAGCCTTCGCCTAGCTGATGTTTGCAGAAGTCTATCCAATCATATCAGCCCCAGCTAGCATTCCCTGGCTGAGGCTGATAGGAGTTGTAGTCCAAGCCATCTGGAGAACACCAGGTTGGCAAAGCCTAATGTAAAGCCTTAAATGAATTGGGGCCAAGTTACCGGAAGAAATCCCCCCTCCCTTCTGTTCATACCTGTCCAGAGATCTTCATTGGAGACTTTTATCCAGGTTCTTGCAGTAAAGAATCCTACTGCATGGTGGCCCTGTAAAGGAGGGGTCCCACCACCCTAAATTTCTTGCTAATGAGACCATCACACAACATTAAGGAAATGGCAGGGGGATAGGACAGGACAAGCTAAGGCTAATCAGTGACTTAAAAAAAAAAAAAAAGCACTGTGGCCCAGTCACAGCACCCTAAACCCCTTTGCAAAGGTAGTAGCTATGTTGTAAAGGAAGAAACTTGACAAGGCTTGATCTGGGATAAAAAATGGCCACTACTTTATTGATTACAGATGTAGGTGGACTTTGGCTCAGGCATTGGCTACTGGAGGGCTGAAATTTAGAACAGGGTTGTGCCAAGGATTGTGGACTCCCCAAGACACTAATCTACCAAGGTAGCCACACACAGGCTACCGCTAGAAGCACCATGGCCCATCTGCCCAACAGTTGGCTTCTGAACAGAAACTTCCATCTAGATCCCGCTAATAGGGTACCCTGAGTTCACACTTGCTTTAGGTTGGGGGTGATGCATCACTTCATGCAAACCTACGGTAGATGACTAGAATTCCATACCCAAAAAGTTGTGACATTTTGCTATGAGGAAAGCAAAACCACCCAATGGGCCCAATCTGTTTGCAAAAATTCCTTACCGGCTCAGAATATGGCAACCATTGGGAAACCATAGCAAAGACAAATGCAGCATGCACAGGAAGAAAAACATGGTTAAGACAAAATTAACTCAAAACAGTATGAAAAGGAAGGGGGGAAGGAGGGTTTGCTCTGCAGCCAACTGAGCTACAAACACTAGACAGCTTTTCTCCTCAGTCGGCAGACAAGAAATGCTCAGGTCCAATAACCAGACTCCACCTTATTGGCTTACCATGTTTCTGCATCATTTTGTGCCTTCTTTTTTAAAAAAAAGGCAAAAAAATTGTCAGCGTTTTAGAATGCAGTCCTAATATTCACATTTTTTTGCAAATTATTTTTCTGTAATATAATACATAAATATATACATCATTTATGCACGCTTCCCCTAATATATGCACTTTTGTACACTTTTTGGGGATGTGTGGAGAAATATATCACAAAATTCAGAGAGGTGTGGATTTTTTTGGATGGTTGTTCCAGTTTCAGAACGCATTAATCAAGTTCCCATTACAATATGAAGTAAATGGAATCTCTGCTAGTGGCACTAGGGTAGGAAGTAACTTCACCCTCTTTAGGAGCTCTTAATTGCCTGCATGTTTCAGTGAGGCACTTTTGTTATATCATGTTATTCTGTGCCGTTCTGGTTTGTTTTTATCCTACAGTTCCATGGTTTTTGTGTGTGTGTTATTAACTGTAGCAACTCCCTTGACAAACGCACATTTCTGAGAACAATTCAAAGCCCTAAACGGCCTCGGTCCAGTATACCTGAAGGAGCATCTCCACCCCCATTGTTCTGCCCAGACGCTGAGGTCCAGTGCTGAGGGCCTTCTGGCAGTTCCCTCGCTGTGAGAAGCCAAGTTACAGGGAACCAGGCAGAGGGCCTTCTCAGTAGTAGCACCCGCCCTGTGGAATGCCCTCCCACCAGATGTCAAAGAGAACAATAACAACCAGACTTTTAGAAGACATCTAAAGGCAGCCCTATTTAGGGAACCTTTTAATTGTATTTTAATATTCTGTTGAAAGTCGCCCAGAGTGGCTGGAAAAACCAGCTGGGGTATTAATTATTAATAATAATAATAATAATAATAATAATAATAATAATAATGGAAAGGCAGATTTAAAGCAATAACAAAAGAATCCACACGATCCACATAGGTCCTGTGCACAGAAATGAACAGTGCATCCTGAGACTGGATTGTGCAGCAGTGCTCATCGTGCAACTCAGACTACACGTGAACTGGTGGTCCCAGGATAGAATAATGACAAAAGATATACTTCCTCCCCTCTCACACACAATCTACAGGCTAAGCAGAGTTGCACAGCAGGAGGATTTGGACCAAATGGCTAAAGCTATTTGCCCTACAAGAGAAAGGCAGCTCACCATTAGATCTGACCAGGGAATTTGTCTTGCTTAAGGCTTTCATAGGTAACCTGTAGCATTTCAATCCCAGAACTGAACCATCTGCACAGTGCAGACAAGCAGGAACTACTGAGAGATTTTTTCCTTTTTCTGTATCTCCCATTTGAGCATTCAGTCAGATGTGTATAGTGCTGAGTGCATTGCAATGCAATGCACACAGGTGTTCCCTTCACTTGGCTATGGCCTGAGGACACATGGTGTGATCACCTGGCTGAAGTAAAGCAGGTCTGAATATACATGGAAGCCCCATGCATGATGCCTTGAATTCCCTGATATTAATGTGTTAATATCCACCTTCATCTCTGAGAGAGGGATCCAGTGACTGCTCTCCTCTTGGCATACTTGGGTGCCAAGGGGTTGCAGAGTGCGATTGCCACATCTTTGTATGGGAGTCCAGAGTTGGAGTGAGCTGCACCAGAAGTTGTGCTGCCATGCGCAGCATGCTTAGGAGTTTCCTTTT